TATCCTAACACTGGAGCTCAAAACACAGTTCAGCTTTATGACAGGTGGAGTGGCAGGGTACGTTCAACTTGAGACTGCTGAGAATTGTGTGCTCTAACATGGGTGGTGCTAGCCACATGGAACTATGGTGAATTTGAAATATGACTAGGAACAGAGAAGCTGAGTTTATTAATTTGAATTTAAATTTAAATTCAGGAACTAGATTCAATTAAAAAACTTTTAAGTGTCCTTGAAATAACTTGGATGTGTGTTTGTTTAACTGTAAATTTTATGTAATCTAAACCAACTCTTCCTAATCAAAACTCAGCTCCCAAATTCAGATGTGCTGTAAGTATAAAATACACACCAGATTTTGAAGCCTTAGTAAGAAAAGGGGAATGTCCAATACTTTATTACATTTTTTATGTTGAATACATGTTAAAATGATACTATTCTTAGATATACAGGGTTAAAGAAAGTATATTATTAAAATTAATTTTATGGGTTTTTTTTTACCTTTTTTAATGCTACTACTAAAATATTTTAAGTTATACATGTGGCTCTTATATTTCTTTTGGATTACACTGGCTTAGGGGCCAGGCAGGGCCTAAAGATGGATGTACAAGGTGAATTAGGAGGATTTCATCCTTCCTACTTTATCACTTTGGAAGATAGCAAGACTAAGGTTAATTACAACTCTACAATATTAGCTAACGTTTATTGAATACCTACTAAGTGCCAGGCACTGTTCTAAATTCTTGACAGGCAAACAATTTTCATAACAACTCTTTGATGGCATGATTTTTATTTTCATTTTAAAGATGAAGAAGTGAGGTATAGAGCTGAAGAAGTTTGTAATTGGTAGAGCCAGGATTTAAACCCAGATATATCTGATTTAGTAGTATTCACAACCAGTGAAACAGAAAAATTATACTCGAAGTATGCTACTTAGTAGAAGAAACTGGGGTGGTGCTTTTCTGTGCCCTATTTAAGGAGTCATTAATGAATTATACACCATTTATGGTCCCTGAATGAGTGAGTCAGCTGGTTGACCTACCTAATACCAAAAAATAACGAAGCTTGCTCTTCACATGCACAAATACAGAGCTCTGTTTGTCAGGTATTGTTAAAATCTGACAAAGGTTAAGTAAACTTATGGAGTTATTTTAAATAACAATCAAGGTTATTTATTTGTTGCAAACACAAATGCCAAGAAATCCTAACTTCCCTGTGGAAGAAGCGAAATTCATTTTCTTTACAATCAACCTGCCCGCAAAACACTTTACACTAACATGCTTTTAGTATGTTTCTATCTGTACATTCGAATGTACTTCCTCTCATTCATAAATTCATTCATTCATCTTGAATTATTAACTGAGCGTCAATATGTTGTAAGGACTGGGTATGAAATGGACATACGAACGATCTGGACAAAAATGGGGACTTACAAGTGGGGACTTATGGTTCCATATACCCAATCTTCCCGTGAATTACAGAGTGTTTTTATTTGTATTGTTCTAAATTTTTAAAGGCTGTATGTATAAAATAGATCGTTTTCATTTTCTTAAAGTTTCTGTTTGTATGACAGGAATACTCAAAACACACATTCTCGGTTTTGGTTGGACATTTTAAAATTGGCATAACAGAGGATTCAAAACTTGGTCTCAGCTGTTAGGGAAACAAGGCAGCTGCTGGGTGAAAACGGATGCCAGGAAGAACCATGCTGAGGATAAAGCAAGGACATTGTGGGAAGCACAACTTTATAATAACTTGAGGCATCCCATCTAATGACATTATAATTTGGCTCTCACTTATCAGGTAATGCACCAGACAGCTCCAGCGATCATTTGTCTAGCATCCATTAAGTACTGTCTTCCTGATAATACTTAGCTTTGTGTGTTGGACAATAATGAGGTGAGGGGAACCATCAAAGGCATATGAGAAATAAACCTTAATGACAACAAACAATTTGTCAGACACTCTTTTCCTTCAGCTTTAACATTTAGGTGCCATATAGTGAATTAAATGATCTAACCCATCTCATTCATCATTGGAACCACAGAACAAACTGTAAAAGTCAAGCTTCTCTGGAAGATCACCTGACAGGTGATATACGAAGCCGTCGAGGACTTGTATGATGAAGGGACATTCAAGATGACAAGTGACGTGTCAGGCCTCGAGGCCAATTATTCTCATTGTGTAACAGGAGCACATACGTTCCTGGCTAAATGGTGTGGGCTAACTTAACTGAGTTTGACTTGATCTGGACTATGGACTTACATCCACACTTTTAAGGGACCACAGCACAAATACATAGAACACAATTACTAATGTCACTTTCTGTAGCATTTATTCCTTCAGTGAACCTTTACTGAGTATTTACTTTAGGTCAGCACTATTCAAGGGGCAAGCTTTTTCTTTTGGAGACTGAGAAAGTTAATAGGTCCTGTTCCGGATCACTAAACTAGGCAGCAGCAGACCAGGGGCTCAGGCAGAGTTCTCCTGACTTCAAGCTTAGTAGTGAGAACAGCAGAACATGCTGCTTCTCAGCACCCTGTGATGAGCAGTAACTTCCACAGCACTTCCGGCCACCTCCTCCCGCAGTGAAAGCTGCTCCAGCATCGCAAGACCTGGCTGAATGAGTCTACGTAGATAGAGAATTTGGTACAAAGTAACCTATACCTGAGCTGTAAGTCTGACTTTTAATTCTTTCAAGTTGAAGAAAGAAAAGAGAAGGCCGAGTAGATGAATAAATTGTTTTACGCATTTTACAAAAGTGAAGATTCCAAGCTTTGATTTTCAAGGTTCAATTCTGCAGATTAAACTAATTTAGTGCTACTATTAGACTCATTGGGTTGCCTTTCATTTCTTTCTTTCTCCCTTTCTTCCTCATCCTCCCTCCCTCCCTCCCTCCCTCCCTCCTTCCCTTCCTTTCTTCCTTCCTTCCTTTCTATTTTTAGATGGAGTCTCACTCTGTCACCCAGGCTGGAATGCGGTGGCACGATCTTGGCTCACTGCAACCGCCGCCTCCGGGATTCAAGTGAATCTCCTGTCTCAGCCTTTTGAGTAGCTGGGATTACAGTTGTGCACCACCATACCCAGCTAATTTTTGTATTTTTAGTAAAGAGAGGGTTTCACCGTGTTGGCCAGGCTGATCTCAAACTCCTGACCTCAAGTGATTCACCTACCTCGGCCTCCAAAGTGCTGGGATTACAGTCATGAGCCACTGTGCCCAGACACTTTTGTATTTAAATATTTGCTTCCAGACTTGGGGACATACCAAGAGCCTTGTGGTGCCAAGGAATAAGTATCTTCCTGCAAAGGGGCAAACCTCAGACCTAAAGTAAGGCAAGTAGATGATAAAAGGGCGGAGGGAAATGAGTGTTTCCTTAATGCCTGCTGGTTTAGATTTTGTGCTAGTCCCTTTTACATAGATTATTTTATCTATCATGAAAAGTCAATGGAATTTTATTTTCCTCATTTTATTAAAGAAAAAACTGAGATTTAGTAAGTTTAACTAACTTGCCCTAAGTCACCAGCTAGTAAGTGGTAGAACTGAGGGTAAGGCATAAATTCATTTAAAATCAAAGCTCATTCTGCACAGCACACTGCCTCATGCCTACGAGTTGTCTCTAAGTTTGCTACCTCATCAATTACCTTGCAGGGAGATGGAAACAGAGCTTCTCATCTCTCACTCAAGCCCTTCTCTTGCTCAGCGTTTTTTTCTTTCTTTCTTTTTTTAATCAAAATGAGGTTGTGCCTGCTGGTCTCTGAAGCTAACATTCTTGGAATAATGTTTAACTCTTTACATCCTTTGGTGGTGAAGGCTTCCCAGTCCTTCCTGTTTGCTATGTTTCATATGAATAGAACCCCCTTCTTTCTAGACTTGCTTTAGGGTAAGCAGATCTAACCAATTGTAATTTTTAAAAGATTATTTAGAAGTTACCTTATATACAGAGGTTACCAACTTTTAAAGGATTAGAATACAATGAAATATACTCTGTTCTATAATTATAGTTTGTACCATGAAATCTTTCATATCTGTATGCTGAAATACTGACCACCATTTAAGGATACCTTACCTGCCATTTCTTCCAAAAGGTTTTCCTTGAGTTTGCTGTAGATCTTTAGGCCCTCCCTTCTCTTATGGCACATGTCACTTCATTCATATTTGCAGAACATGAACTAGATGCCAGCCACACCATGGTAAGTGAAATATCATCATTGCCCTTGTGAAGCTTAAAACCTTGCAAGAAGGACAGACACTAACTCCATAACCGTACATCTAGTAACGGCATAATTCCAGCTATAACTGTCATGAAAGAAAAACTTCCAGCTATTATGCATCGGATAGAGAAAAATAAAAATGCAGTAAGTGATTATGTATTTTTTCTGTTTATATTACTCTAGGTAATGTGTTCCCCCATCTTCTAACTCAACATCTTTCTCATATTTACTATGATATGCAAAGAACCCAACTTGCAAAAGGAAAGTTTATCTTTCTTAAAAGTTTACTATGCTTCTATATAGGTGAAGCAAAGATGCCTGGAGACAAAACTTGAAAAAAATGCTGATTTCACTGAGACCATGAAACCTCTCTGATCCTCAGGCCGAGAAACTACTTAAGGATCTACAGTTCAAATGAATTCTCAAATAATAGAATGTTAAATTGAGGAAAATCCTTAGAATTAATGAATCCATAAGGTTCTGACTTTTAGATTTCACAAAGCAGCACAACTTTCATGGAGGAAGATGGAGGGTGGCCAGGTTTTCATTTTGCCAAGTGAGGGTGTCACATAAAGCCCATCATCCATTCACCTATGATTTCATAAATGACAAGATATTTGGAAAGCAAAAAAAAAAAAAAAAGTGGAAAAGCATCATCTTAGTAGAAAGAACAGCCTTTCTTCAGGAAGGACTGGCATAACTTTATAGCAATACAGATGGAGGTACAAATATAAAATAGATTAAAATGCTATAGCTACATAAATATTGTCTTTATTTGCCTCATTTTATCTTAGACTGGTTAAAACCTGAAGGTTTTAGAAACCTCTGATCTTCTCCACACCCTTCAAATGGGCAATGACTGACCAAGATTACCGATGAGAGACTGTGGGGGCTGGAATCTATACCCAGGTCCTGGGAGCCCCTTGCACTGTCCCTCCTAGTCACCCTCCTGCTTGGACCCTGGGAGCATGACAAAGAGTCAGGTGGGAAAGGTGAATTCTGCTCCATATGTAGGATGAGGGTGCCTCTGAGGTCAGGGAGATAGGTAGAGGGGATGGAATAAAAACAGGTGAAATATTCTGAGGGAAGATGAATGTATTTTTGGTTCATAAAACATTCTCCTCTTTCTACCCTTTTCCCCTCCCCAGGTCAACAATGTATAGGAAACAAATTATGCAAACAATTCACAACAGTAAATCCATCAAAAAAGTAAAGCTTGACCACAATTCTATTTATCTTCTTCACTTTACAGATAAGAAAACCAAGGCTGAAGATCACACCATCAGTAAAGAAATCAAATGTTATATACTGGCCCTAAAGTTGGGATAAAGGAGCTAGAAGAAAGTATAATTTATATTAAATTTTAAGGTCTCCAAAAGCAAATCAATAAGCCATACTCTAGTAACATTAAGATTTTTCACAAGTGCTAGCTTAATTCATAAACAATTACCATTTTCGGAGGTCAAAAGTAATCAAATATCATGATTATATACGGCTTGACCTAATACATATCATTAATAAGTTCTACTAATCCAGAGTTTTCTGCCTCTACTTCACCACCACAATAAACTAAGGACTTCTAAGCTAGTAAGAATAGTGACAGAGATAATAATTAGAAAAATATTCATAACAATATTATCAACAAACACTTCCACCATTTTTTGAACAACTCTTCTGTGTATTTTCTATTGCAGTAAAAAAACTCTAACAAAAAATTATCATCTTAATCATTTTTAAGTGTACAGTTCAGTAGTGCTAAGTATATTTACATGATTATGAAACCGATCTCTAGAACACTTTATCTTGCAAATTTAAAACTCTGTACTCCTTAAACACGAGGAGCACCATGAGAAACCACGTGGCTGGTGGTGTTGGATTCTGGGCTTTTTCAAGAGAAGTCAATCTGGAATTCTGTGTAAAATTTTCCAAACTTTAATGTTAGCTTAAAAAATATCTTTATCAAGATATAATTCAAATACCATAAATCTATCCATTAAAATGTATATGTTAACAGTTTTTAATCACCCCCAAAGGAGACCTTACACTGTAAGCCATCACTCCTCATTCTCCCTCCTGCCAGATGCTAGTGGCCACCATTCTGCTTTCTGTTTCTATGAATTGACTACTTCAGTAGCAGTAGCCCATCATTTTTGAGAATGTAAACCTGCAAGGTGCATCACACACTTTAATCCTGACAAAACTACAAATTAAGTGCTATTATTCTAACTTTATAAAATAAAAAATTAGGTAGATATAAAATTACATCTGAAAGTAATTGCTACATAATTTCAAATCTGTTATATTCAAGTTAGACACCAATGAGAATAATTTCTACTATGGAGAAGATTTTTTATGTATTGGATTATTGTTAAGTGGTAATACTGCTGGTGGATTTCCAAATATCCAAATAATGGAGCCGAATAAATACTTGTTGAATGACCAAGTGAATGGTGTGATAGAATACCTTCTTAAATAAAAGAGGTCCAAGACAATATGAAGGAGAAATAGAAGTGAGAAGAAATTGAAGGAGAATATGAAAAGCTCATGGTAACACGCCATGTAGAGACGGATTTTGCCTGGTTCTCCTATCAGCAGCAAAAAATTACAGCGACCACATACTATGAACCACAGTGTACTTAAAAAAATAGATACACTTCTTGTATGAACATAAGATATCCAAAATCATAAGAAAAAAGAACTTAATTGTAAGAACAACAATATTCTATTTTGGAATACTATTGACAAATTTAACTGAACCCTGGAGAAATAGGACATTTTAAAATAGGTTAAAATGCTAAATAGAACATTATTTAGTGTATTATAGTTAGCACATAAACAAGTAAGAGAAACTGAGTATGGAAGAATAAACGAAGCCCTTGTCAGCACGTACAAAAGGATGGACAATTGCTGGTTAGAGGAAAACACAAGCTTTGTGCTTACACTTCAACTTTTTTTTTTTTTTTAACAAAAAGACAAAGTTGGAGAAAGCCGTTGTACTAGAGACTTGATTATTCATAATATGAATGAAACAGAGTGGAAATACTGATTGGCAAATATTTGTATAAAAGAGCATCCCTATTTTTATATTATCCAAATACTTTCAAATTGAGGTCTCCTTTTACTTTCTAAATTTAAAGAAAAATTACATAATAAATAATTCTTTCTTGAATAAAAAAATTTAATAAAAAGTGAACTTATGAAAAGGATAGTTGTATATAAAATATATATTTATATTTGCATTCCTACACTAATGAAATGACTTTTAAAAAATAAATACAATAACTTTAGATTTCTAAAGGATAACAAAAATTACATGCATTTTCATCTATAAATAAACACCTTTCTTGCTACTTTTCTTTTTACATTAAAACTCCCCCTACAAAAACTTTCTTCCAATGCACAAAAATTTTCAGAAACTTAATAGATCTAGGTTCCAATACACCTAGTTTTTAAAGATGTTTTGCTTAAACTTAAGTTTGAAGGCAACTGGATTTTTGCCATGTGCAATCTGTGGGAATGCAAATGTCCAAATCTGATTTCAATGAGCTTTGACCTTCTGAGATTCGTCAGCCACCCAGATGTCAAATCTTTCTTTTTCCTTTTTGAAAAAGAAATTTATTCAATTCAATTCGATGCAAATTATTCTGTCATCTTTCAAGGACAAAAGACTGAATGAATTATGGATCTTAATTTTGACCTATCCAAATTACTTTTAACTATCCAAAGTAATGTTCTAGAAAACATGGAGAATCACAGAATTTCTGTGCTGGGTGGACGGTTGAAGATAATCAAATCAATTCCCTTTTTTTCACAGAGAAAGAGGCTAGATGGCTTCCCTAGATGTGACATAGTCAGAATTGTAGGCAGAATTCAAACACAGCTTTCTAGCAAGCACCTAAGGCCCAAACTGTTAACTTACTCATGCTCTTGTCCAGATCCTAGAAGATATATGGTCCCAAATAAATAAATTCAATGGGATGGGACTATTTTTTGAGAAAGAAAATGCCAGAATATTGATGTGAAATAATAGTGATTTCTATACCTTAAAACATCATTACACATAAAAGGGGACTGCCAGCGTCTCCACTTTGACACAGAGGTAAGAGCGCTAGAGTGCTTCATCCCAAACATCCCATGAAAGCTGGCTGAATCATTTAATTTCTCTGTATCTCAGTCTGCAAAATGGCACTAATATACCTTCCACGTAGCTGAGAAGATAGAGGCAGATAAGTGGTGTGGAGGGACTCCAAGGCTACGACACTGCATGACACGGGCCGAGCCATAATTTATGCACAGACCTGCTTTGGTAGGTATGCTCTACTTGCGCCAACAATAAAGGACCTTGAGACACAGATTAAGGGACCATCTAGCGCAAACCCAAGAAAACCCAGAATAAAATAAAAGGCAAACCCACTATGAGGCATGGAATAAAAGGAAGAAACACACCCTGGCATATTTGATGCTAAGAAGAAATAAGGTCATTTTGAAATTACAGGTACATGTGTTACCCTTCTCCCGCCCCCTCATACTCTTTTCTAACACATTTTGGGGAGCTATGGAAAATGAATAGAAGAGACAAAAAAGTACTTTGCCCGGCAGGAATACAAAATTGTAAAAGCACAGACAGCACTACAGAGGCGCGCTGCCATTCACTCACAAAGAATTTTGTGCATGTAGATGGCTGATTAATTGCCGGCCTGCCTAGACGAAGCTGCAACAAGCCAGATACTGTCAGCATGCCATCGGTTACCATGGAAATGCACAAGGTTCCTGTTTCTGACAAACCCTTGAATACTGGATAGATTGTGCCATATGTAAATAAGGCAAATTAGTTTTCCTGTATCTTCCAGACAAGGTTAGACGAAAAGAAAATATATCTGTTTAAACATACTCTCTAACCTCTTAGATGTGACGAATGAGAAAGAGGGGCCTCTTTCTTAGGAAACTAAACTCAGATTGTTACAACTGAAAGGCACTTGTGGAAAATGACCAAAAAATGCAAAATGCATTGCCCATTTATAAGGAAGGACTTCAAAGTCAGCCATGCAAAGGTACATTTATTGGACTTTTGTTTTGTAACCAGAAGATGTGTTTTGTGGCCTTTTCTTTACAGAATTATAAGATGTCAAACAGTTATTTCTATAATATTAGGTTAGAATTTTTATGTTTTATGACGTGATTTTTACTTATTGCACAGTCTCTAGGCTCCATAGGCTGAAAACTGAGTCCCAAACCAGCATGATAAAACAAATCAGCATAATTCACAATGTTTAACTCCATTACTATGGACACTCACTTTGGCATTACATTGACTAGGGCTTTTTAAAATTAAGAAACAGTTTTTACCAGCACCAGGTGACTTTATAACTTCTTTTCATGTTGCAAAAATAATCTATAATTAATTAAATCTGATGTTATTTCAAAAAAAATTCTTGTAATTATCATTAGGACACCTTCAAGTACATAGTGACTCAAATCTCTTATTGAATTTACGACCCAGGACTACTTTTCTGATGGTCATGTGCAGTTATATATTTTAAAAATTGAATCTGTTTACCTAAACAGTGAAAATACCAGAAAGGGCTGGAGTGCATTTCATAATATAGCATCTCTGAATAATTTTTAAGTGTGCCTCTCTCAAAATAAAATGTCCTAATATCTCTATTTAATCTCCTTAATTTTAAATATATACTTTATCTGTGTTTTCAGTCAGATTGTTTCTATGGACACTTGGTTATTAAATTTTGATACTGAAACCCACATATTCATGTTACTCAAGTAAGCCACAACATATGAACACCAAAGATAAATACAATTATCCAAATTAACATTTCTCTAAGTTTAAATTAATGATCTCTTTCTTTCCTTTCTGGGTAAAGGCAGAAAAATATTTTATTTTTTATAAATAATCCACTTACTAGATATGCCCAGAATACCAATTTGGCATAATATACTATATGTTATTCCATGTTTTCAGAATGCAGCAATGAATTCTACCTAATGGCCCTCAAACTTTAACATACTGAATATGTGTAATTGAATATTAGCCAAGAAAAAAAAAGGGAAGCCACTATCTGCATATTTTCATTTTTATGTAAATAACATACTACATAAAACTATTAAAAAGACTGACTTTTAGTATTGTCCTGCTCGACTTTTGTTTTTGCAAAAAAGTACTCTTTATACTCTTCAGTGGGAATGTAATATGTAAAGTGCATTGTTTTTATACCAATTTCTAAACAAATTTTAAAAGTACATTCTATTTACACAATAGTAAAGAAGGACTGAAAGAAAATTGGTGTTTAAATAACTCTGTCTAGAACAAGTATCTATGCCTGAAATTAACATGATCTTTCTTTCTGTTCTTCATTATGTTTTACACAAGACTCAAACAGGTTGTCACACTTTAAAACTGATTCTAGTCTTTTTGCACTGAAATAAATACATGACCTATAGATGACATTTCATTTTGCTCTTTTTTCTTCCTTTAAACCAGGCAGATCATAATTAAACACATTGAGATTTCTTGGTTAGTCAT